AATCTGCCCAATCAAAAGTGAAGTGTTGTGAACAGTTTGACCCAAATCTCCTTATAAAAAACAATCTGAGGCACACACGGATACTGCGGGATAGAAAGAGGAAAATAAGTAAGGCCTCAGTAAATGTCTCATCACCTGTTTGTTATCATTTCTGAGATTGCCCTCTTCTTACCAACACATTCTCTGAATCTGTCCACACATGCTGCACAGACGTTTTTTAGAGGGGACGAAAAAAACAAAAAAACAATGAAAGAGCTAACAGAATATTTCAATGACTTGAACTGTGTTGGATCAAACCACTGTCTTGCTTTTGTCCATATTAGTTATTTATTTAATGTCCATCCTTTTTCCTTTTTGCCTACTCTTATGTTTGATACAAAACTGCAGTTTCCTTTATGTAGCAGAGTCATTTAAGAGAGCAGAGTATGTTTGGATGTTGTATACGTACTAGAGGGTCCTGTCTTTTTTGTGTTGCTTGTTGTATGAGTGATTATAAATAAAACGGTTAAATCTTGTTTTGTTTGTTGCTGAAAGCTTTCATTAAACCTAAAGTGGAAGGTAAGTACATGTAAGTGCATGAATATCTTTTCAGAACAGAACTTCTAAAGTATGGTTTTAAAAATCCCTCATCTTGATACAGAAAGCTTGATTATACTTAAACTGTTAGAGAGGAATTCTTTAAGGAATAAACATATATTTTTAAGCCTTTTTTTAAAGTCAAATGCACTGATTTTTTATTTTAATCCAACATATAAATGGATCAACAGACTTTGTTTTTCTCTCATTTGTCTCTCTGGGCTTCATAAGAAAATCATCCAGACATGTGAATCACAAACCTTGTTGCTAGTTTACTATTAACGTTTTTACAGAATCCTTGATTCTTATTTCTGAACTTCCTGTTCAGTTACATTTTAAATTCACCATATTGACTTGTTATATATGGTTATTTAGCATCGAAACATGTTTTCCACTTCTGATACATCAGTGATTACTGCACTACGCAGCCTGGGAGATGACGTGACATCTCTCATCAGATTGACTTCTAAGTGACTTTATAAAGTTTGGGAGCACTTTAAAGCCTGTAGGACTCAAAATAATGTCGGCTCTGAACACAACTTTTCTTGGCCTTTTCTCTCTTTTTGTGGCTCTCAAACTCATTTAGACATTTAGTATAATCTGTGTTAGTTCCTAAACTTTTCAGCTTGCGACCCCCAAAGTAAGGGTGCCAGCGAATGGGGACCCCCACTGTCCTGAAGGTTGTTAGGGCATATAACGTAGCGACAGCTACACACACACCCTAACATTAATAGGCCCTATCCACACAGGGAATACAAAACACAGAAGAATACAACAGCCTTAAAAACATACAAATATGTTTTATAGTTTATTGTAAAAAAGGCTAGAAGCAGAATACAAGTCATTTCCTTGTGTAGACTTTAGCACTGAGTTGACATACAAAACTGTGACACAGGCTGCCATTTGTAAACTTACATTTGAAGTATTTTTACACATTCATTTCATTTCAATGAACAATAAGGTGGCCTGCACGGGGGTGCAGTGGTCAGCTAGGATTGGCTCCAGCCCCCCAACCCCACCCCATGACCCCGAGCGAGAATAGCGATAAAAAGATAATGGATGGATGAACGATAAGATTTAATTTGAAATGGAACACCTTTTTTATATATATATATATATATATATATATATACTTATAACAATAATGGGTATAATATGCAATTGTATTGGAATTATTTACATTTTACATTTTTTTGGAAGGCATCTTGTGACCACACTCTTGGTGGCTCACGACCCCTGATGGGGGGGGCTGACCACCACTTCGTGAACCACTGATCTCTGCAACAAACAAAGGGTTCAAGCAAAAGAAACGAAAGTCATATTTGAGTCAAAACCTGTCCTGGAAATACAGTTTCTACTCCCTTCATTACTAAAAAAAACTCTTCTACATACAACACATCTATAAAGTACACACTCTCTGTGCTGCTTGTACACACCCTGCAGAGTGAACATGTTTTATTGGAGGAGGAGAGCTACAGCAGGAGAAACTGTTCTGCTTTTTCTTATCCAAGGGGGTCAAAGTGGTAATGGCATTTTCCTGCCAAATAGAAGCTGTAAATCCCCGGTTTTAATAGCTCGTCTGAAGCTCTTGTTGTTCCATAGCTGCTCTTATACAAAATGAAATGCTCATTATAAGGCCTGCCGCTGATTTTCTGCATGCCTGCATTCCCAATCAAGAAACAGAATAACTTTGCCATTTTTCCACACTGCAAGTTGACTTAATAAATCAAATAGAATTTAAAGTGAAATATTCCAGTGTTGTTGGACAGAAGAGAATTTTTTGTTTGCCTTACTGTAAAGCCATAATATTTTAAAGGCTGGCTGTGTCAGTGTGTGAGCTTTATGATTTATGTCAGTGGCACCATTAAAAAAAAAAAGTTTAACTATAATAGTGTGTGTGTGTGTGTGTGTGTGTGTGTGTGTGTGTGTGTGTGTGTGTGTGTGTGTGTGTGTGTGTATAGAGGGGGGAATATGCATAGTCTAAAGCTAATTTTAAATCATAAAAAGCCCTCTCTGTTCTCTCTCCTAAGTATCTGATGGCTTCTATATTTGAAAAAAAAACCCAACCCTTTAATTTTTCACATTTATATCATTGTATTGTTTATATCATCATTAGTTTATTTTCAGGCTGAAACCAGCGACGTATTTGATTCTTGATTAATCTGAAGAAGCAGAGTGGGATTTTCTGGCCCAACTTCACCAACTAACAAGGTGCATGAAGAGTGAAAGGTTTGAAGAGGTCCAAATACTCCAGCAACACCAGTAGCATGAAGATCAACTTTATTAACAAATTAGACTGACGCGTTTCAGCTTGTGGCCTTCATCAAAGCTGCAGTATTTTGACCTATACTTGATTAATCTGCCAACTATTGTCTATAACAAGTACAATTATTAGTTCAACACATCAAGTTAAATAGTCAGATTGTTCTGTCTTTGAAAAGTCTATTAACTGTTTTATTTGTAAAATTCATGGAATATTATATTTAAAAAATGTATATTATATTTTATCAAGGCAGATAATATTAAATATAATTTAATATCCCTGAAAAGAACAGCTGTTTAAATATCAGCAAATAACCCCACGTGTCAAAACTAGATCAACTCGTTTGCCAAGCGGCTCTATTTTCAGAGTGCGTTGTCTATCTACATAGTGTACAGGTGTATAGATGTACGTCATTGAGCAATAATTACATGTCCATAAAGTTAAGGGCAACATTTTACTGCTGGCGGTTATGCAGGTGGAGTAGGTTTAACTACTTGATCACATTTTAGCAGCTGATCATTCTTTTGTATATGAAATATTTATCTATAGGATAACTGACAACTAGATCTGCCGGATACCTTTATTAGTATAACATTCTCCAACATTGAAGTACAGCATCAGACTGGATTTTTAACAGGAAACTTCACAGACATCAAGTCTATAATCTACGATGGGGTAGATTCACAGTGCATGTCTCTATCTTGGTGTGACGCTTTTGTAAAAAGTTTTAACTTACACCTCCAGCTGTCACATAAATGTAGAGGAGTAAAAAGTACAGGAGTGTCATCTGAAATGTAGCAGGCAAGAGGTGTAAAGTAGCATAAAATTAAAAAACTCTGAGTACAATATGTCATTATCTGAATGAAGTAATTTTTCACTGCAGAAAAGCAGCATATCTTTACATATAAAGCTACTAGACAGTCGTTTTTTTGCTTGATATTGATTATAGCATTTTTCATTTAATGTTCTTCATTCTTTATTGTAACAGACCAGAGTTCACCATGCAAGCTCTTAACCACTTACATAAGTTTAGCCTTGTAATGTTTTACTGAGGGCGAGAGGCCCCTTTAATCATCCTGTTAACTGTTTTTTCCACCTCCTGTGGTGATGTTGCGTTTCAGCTCACTTTTAAAGAAAGGCCTCTGAAACATCACATTTGAGACACAGGTCTGTGATGTCACATGTCAAAGCACAGGATGTTTTAGGACATGTTTAAGCATCGAATGGATTCAGCTATTCCACTTAACCTATGAGTTTCATTACTACGTTATATCTCTGTGATCTAATGAAACATTTGATCTTTAAAGAAGGAGCAAACTATCTATAACAAGACACTGATGTTGCATTAGATGATGTGTGTTTAGGAGGCGGCCTCTTCTATTGTTTGTCTCTGTGTTGAAGTGACAACCCATCAGTTTCTTCTACGAAATTTGCCACAGGTAAAATACAAGTTATATGTTTGTTTTACATGTCAATATTTGACATACTGCTCATGACTACGTGGATAGGAAATATTAGGCCAAGACTACATTGCTATATTGTGTGTTTAATAAGGTGGGTATCTTATATCAAACCTACTATGTTGAAATATCGTTGTAAAAACATCTTTATCTGGAAGTTTAGTTTATCAAAACAAGTTTGGAGGCATAATATTTTAATATAAGCCATATTCAAAATCATCAGAGCCAATAAACTTAACCATGCCAAAGTATTTGCTGCTTCTCTCTCGCTTTTTGTAGAATTATATGCAGGATCACTTCAGGTGTTGAAATGTCGGACAAACAAAAATCTACTTAGCAAAGTCCCAATAGATTTCTTTGAAAAATGTTAAACTCATTGGAATTACAATGTTCAGTATAGACCACATAACATTAGTTTTTCTCTTTGAATTTGGTTGCTGTGTTGTTGTGAAGTTAGAATTTGCTGGAACCTGCAAAAACATGATAATCCCATTTAATCCCCATTACTACAACTTCAACAGTGACTATAATGTAGCCTCGAAACATTTGCCATTTTCACAATAAACACTTCCAAAAAGTGCAAGAAACACAAAAAACATGAGGCCAAGATCAAAGTTTAACTCAATATACACTTTTAGGACAAAATGACCTTTGTCCTCATTATGTGATTGTTTGCCATATTGATATATTGATCACAAGAAGTGGGTCAGGGTTCATCCATTTATTTTGTATTTATTTTTTTAAATTTTGCAATATTGAAACAGTTTTTTTGGCTTTGGGCTCAAAGGGAGGGCAAGAAGAACAGGCAGTTCTGTGGTGGTAATTGATTCCACATTAGCCTAGCCTAGCCTGTGTGAGCACTCGGGGAGATCTCACTGCTGCCTTGCCTTTTCTCCAGTGGCGTGGGCTGCAAGAACCGAAGAAGCAAAGCGACACAAGACACCACCCAGAGAAGCCTCACCGCTCAGCCGGAACAGGACAGGTGAGTGTGCTGTTCCCACGTGTTTGACTACAGTCAACCAGAAATAGCTGTGAACGCACATGTGTGATTTTAAGATCAAGATAACTTCTTGTAACGGGTTTCTCCCACAGCCTGCGTCTGCTTTGACAGGAGACCCGAAACACTCAACATGACAGCCCAAAAGCCACAGAGCATGCTCAGAGAAGCCTCTCATCAGATCTTAGCCGGTGGATCCGCTGGTAAGTCCCAACAAAAAATGTTTCACTCAAACTTTTTTCTTATTGATGACGCAATAGTTCAGGAGCTGCTACATTGTATGTAGCGTGGCTAAAGTGTTGCCCGCAAAACTACAACAAGGCAACGCCCCTCTCTGTGAGCTTCCCACGAGGCTGAAGGAAAGTCAAGTTTCTAATCGAGCGAGACTCGACAGCCCCGGAATGAACGCGTATCCAACTGCAGGTCCTGCTGGTCGCATGACGCAAAGACAGTGCATGTGTTACCAAGACACACTCCGTCTCCTCTTTCTCACATGCTGGGTGCGTGGACACGGAAGTGCCTCTGGATACGGGAGGTGTCACTGCGCATGCGTACAGCTGTGGTTAAATTGGAACGTCGTAAAGTGCCTGTTTTCTGCAGTCTATGCTCCTGGATGGGTTATAATTACTTTCCCTATTTAAATGCAAGAAGTAGGCGAGTGTGGATGACAGGTTAGACGTGTCGCATTTGAAATGTGAATTCTGATTAGCTTTTTCTCATTGGAACATTGAGTTTTATTTAAATCAGGGGCGGGGCGACTCGCGGCCCCGGGGCCACATGCGGCCCTCGTCAACCCTCAATGTGGCCCTCAGGTCAATTTTTATATATTGAAACATGAAGAAAACATGACAAAATCTGCCATGAATTCATGAAAATCAGGAATATTTCCATAATAATATTTGATCACTGGCATATGTTGAGTTAAATTTGAGACATAATTGACTGTCATCGTTTTTGTAATCCTACAATTTGGCCCCCTGGCAGTCAGAATTAAATGAATGTGGCTCCTTGCTGTGCCCAAAGTTGCCCATCCCTGATTTAAATAGTGGAACTATTATGCTTTGTCAGTACAGTACTTTTAACTGAGCTGGTTAGAAGTATCATTGTATTGTATATGCAGGAGTCAGAACTTACAAGGTCATGTTGAAAACATGACAAAATGGGATTTACATTTCATCTTTCCATTTGATAACTTAAGAGCACGTTTATTGTGTTATGTTTAAGTGTTCTGTCAGATGTTTTGTACCCTCTGAGGTTTCGACTGCTCTACATTTTAATTAAAAAAACAACCCCGGATTGGTTAAAAAATATCAGACATTTTGGTTGCAATTTAAGGAGTTTGTGGTGCGTCCTGAAGCTAGAGTAGTTGAGATTGAGAAGCTTATGAGCATTGTATCTTACATCTAAGGTTTACATGCACAAGAGCCCTGACCCAGGGCTATCCATCTTGAATGAGAAAAATAATATTAGTAAAAACTTACCAGATAGGGGCGCTGGTGGGGCAGTGGTTAGTGAGCGTGCCCCGCATGTATGGAGGCTGTAGTCTTCCAGGCGGGCGGCCCAGGTTCGAGCCTGTACTGTGAGCCTGTACTGTGGCCCTTCCCCTCATGTCGTTCCCCACTCTCTCTCTCTGATTTCCTACTCTATCTCTGTCCTATCTCTCCAATTAAGGCCCCAAAAGCCCAAAGATTAATTTAGAAAAACTTACCAGATAAAATGCAATTTCCCCAGTGATTTTATTGATGAAAAAAATCGAGAAAGATATATTGTGAACAAAAAAAAATTAATTGTCAGACACAATATGCAAATATGATGTTATCTCACCTGTTTGTAAACAACAAGTCTAAAGACAAAGTTATTAGACAAGAGAGATTATGAGGTTTTGCCATTAAAAAAAAACTCTCTATTTGTGGTTTTATTCTTATTTTGTAAAAACCGAGCTTGCTAACAACTGTTTAAAAAAAGAAAAATGAAGACAGCTAACGTTTTTCCTCATTTTTCAAATAAATAAGACTGTTGTTATTTGTTGCAATTCGGATGTCGACCACTGGGGGCAGCAGTCAGCACATAGCGACTGAGACGTTTTCGGGTTAATAAGTGAAGAAGAAATTCCGCGCCAATTTTTGATAATTGTTTGTTTAGGCTTTAATTGAAAGTCGCCTCTGTGGATGGATTAATCATGTTTTTTGAGACTTTACCGCCGCCTGACAAGTTTTGTTGACTCCACATACGTCGTCTAAACGCTGCCATCCATCTGGTTAGTTTATGCTTTCAAAACAATTCCACTTATGGAATAATAATAATAATAATATATAAATAGTACTGGGGACTATATAAGCAGACAGTTGTTGACTCATGACTCGAATATAGACCTTCACTAAACACATATAACATAGAAAGTCTTGCAGTGCCAAAGGTTTACCCCCACCTCGGCTATTCTGCTTGTAACCCATTTTATACAATAACCTACATAACAATGCAATGATCACCCTACAGCACTGCACAGTAACCATGTTGCAATAATAATGAGATTGCTGAGCCTAAAAGAAGCTTTTCAAACATTACACACCCCAGCCAATTATTGTGAAACATATTGCATACATTGTATTGTTGCATGATTCTGCCTGATCTGTCGTGTATTTCCTATTTAAAAAAACAAAAAACAACAACAACAGCAATTCAGAAAATGGTGACAGTAGGAGGATGTTGATTGCATGAAAAGTTAGATCATTTTCTTTTGGAGAATGCATATCCAAAGATTGATAGTGAATCATTTTTTTTCCTTCATTTTGCCTTTGAGCAAGTTGTCAGAAGTGTGTTTTGTTTGTGTGGATACACCACTTTGGACAACTATTCAGTTAAAATGGTTGTGCAGGTGTCAGAGGTTCTGCAGATGTTGAAATTTGCAGGTTTAAGCCTTTACATGGGCAGAGAAAGCGAGCGATTGTGAATATGTAATCTTGTATCCTTACTGTGGAATGTAAGTGTCTGTCCTCCTGCACTAAATTGCAGGATTGTGGTTGTGTGTGAATTTGTGGAATGCATGGTGAGTCAAATGACTTGGCTGCTCCAGTAAAAAAAAACAAAAAAACACAGCCAATGCATTATTTGTTTGCTCTCTACTTTGAGGACGCTCAACAAGGCTTGCTGAATAATTTCTTACAACTTGTTTTTTTATTCATTAAAGGATCTTACTGATTTTATGATTATGTAATTAGCTGACAGGATCCTTAACTTGAACTCTTGTGTTCTGTGTTCAGACATACGTAACTGCTTTGAATGCTTGTTTGTAGAGTGCCAGTTTTGCTGTCAAGCGTTAAATGATAATGCTGAAGGTACAATATGCAGATGTTCCTTTTATCTACACAGTTGTAACAGTTATCAGACAAGACAGACTATGGGGTTGCCATAAGAAAAACGCTCTATTTATGGTGTTAGTTTTTTGTTTGTCAAACTGAGCGAGCTAACAGCTGTAAGAAATAAAGACCGCTTAAGTCTTTCCTCATGTTTTGATTCTTAGTGTTGTTGTTGTTGTTGTGCTTACTCACCAAGTTGGTCAAAGCTGAAGTTTAAATCTATGTTCATCGTTTGTCTAGTGTGTGCACATCTCATTTCAGAATTATTGTTATACTTTCGTTGAACGTATTTAGATTTCACTATAGAAATTGTAGAATGAGCATTTAATATCTCTTGACCTAAATCAGTACAACTGACTCAAAGAAAGTGTGATAAATCATTTTCCATCTCTTTGTTGTTCCCCCTCTCCAATTATTTTTTTGTAGTCTTAATACTTTAGATGTAAAACTGAAAGTTCTTATCTTTACTTACTACAGAACTCTGAAGGTGAGCTAGATCTCTTTGACTTGCTGCCTGGTGCCTTTGTGAAATTGAGACAGTTTCTGTGAGTTATATTCTGCAAACAATCTGTGAAAGTTCCATTCTAAAAAGCATTTTCAATTTTCCTGATTTTTCTTTTAGCAGATTGTTACTTTTGCTCTGTTATTTGTTATTGTTAGAGGGTCCTATACAGTGAATGGACTTGAGCCTATAGAGCGCTTTTCTAGACTTCTGGCTACTCAAAGGGCCTTTACACCACAGGTCACACCTACCCATTAACACCCATTCACACACTGATGGCAAAGGTTGCAAAACAAATCCCATTCATGTACTTGTATAAGCCACCAGCAACCAGTGGGAGCAATTTGGGGTTAAGTGTCTTGTCCAATGTTGCTGCAGGAGTTGGGGTTCAAACCCCCAACCTTCCTGTTGAGAGACGACCGACTCTACCAACTGAGCCACAGATGCCCGTCCTATATTCACCCTTGAACTAAAATGATTAGTCTTATCTAGTCTTGCCTTATCTATGTAACAGGCAGAAGCAATGTGTTTGACCAAGTAATTAGTAGTAGTTAGAAACCCCAAGTCCTCTATGTTGCTGCAAAAGTTGATTTCATTTCATAAAATTATCCCACAATGTCAAAAGTTTCTGTTAATGGCTTGTGCAATAGATTCTAGGTTTTTCGTGCATATAATAGTGTATTGACCTCAAACCATGTCTCACAGAGTTTAAGTAACAATAGTGTTTTGACCATAGACTGTGTATTAGATGTGAACATATGTGGATCTTCGGCTCTTGGTGTCTACAGAGAGACTAATGTAGATGTGTCTTAAACTTGCATTTTTTCTAATGACCAGCAGGAGGCGACTTTACTCTTTGCAAAAAGTAATCCGATTGTCTGGATGACAAAATAAGCCTCTTCGTAATTGATGTATTTCTTCAGAAAAATTGCTCTAAATTACTTAGTGGTCTCAGTCACCAGAACTGAACAAAATGCAAACCTGTATCAAATCTGCAATCAACAAAAGACAGGGTGATGTCATTCTGGCTGCGTCCACTTTTTTTTCACCCCATGTCATGTTCTCGTGTTAGTTTTGACCAGCACCCATGGGTAGAAAACCACTTTTATGTAACAGCTATTTTATTCAGTAACCCTTGTAATGTGGAAATGTATGTTAACACTGGGCCAGAAACACCCAACTGTTATTAAAACTAGGGTTTGCCCCAATTCTTAAAATATATGAAAGACTGATCCTGATGAGTTTGTGACTTTGTGTGTGTTTGGGATCTGAACTTCAGTTGACTTGCAGGTAGATTACAATGAGCACTTCTTTTCATGCTTTCAATCCATCATGAAATACTCAG